AAAATATTTAACACGATAAAAAGTAATAGAAATCGAATAAAGAGATGATTTGCGAAAAATCAATCGTAAATCGATTTCTGCAATAAATTCTCTCACCTCTTCAAAACCATGTATATTTTATCGTATAAGAAAAATTGTGTAGAAGTGGCTACAAGGCAATTAAACGCGTACTAGATTCCTTACCTGCGGTAGTACAGTAAACTTCGCAATAGCATCTGGATAAGAGACGAAAGCAAGACCGGTTCCACCGCGGACAACGTTACTGATGTCCTCGGTGCCCAGTTCGTGAGCTAAATTTCCAAGGATACCAAAAATGGTGAAACCGGCCATTAAACTGGTGAACGTGTCCAACGTGGTCACAACTATGACGTCTCTGGAACAAATGGCGTAAAATGTAATATATGTATAATCTATAAAATCTTATGCATCCTAAAATATAATCAATCTCTTATAGATCTAGATCGTTTATGAAAAATATAAATTTGCAAAATGCAAAATGTGATGTAAGACATTTTATTGATTCATTTAAAAAAAATGAATCAAATCTCATAAATATAAATCTCTATAATCACATTCACGTAACATTGAGCAAAAAATTCTCACTCCCATAAATTAAAAAATAAAAAATTAATCAAATATATATATATATATAAATTTGATTTTACATATAATATCAATTTACAAACATTGAAATATAATTTTCTAGAAAAAAGAATAAATCTCAACTAATTTGCTAAACACATCGTGTCCAGTATTAAGATATTCTAAGAATATTACATTAACTCTATAGTTATAATCTCGTTCAAATCAAAAACGATGATTTGATTTTGCATAAACATTCTCACTCGCCATAAATTAAAAGGAAAAAATATTATTTTCTATTATTCTAAAGAAGAGTAATCCCAAATAACCTGTATATATTGTGTCTGAAGTTATTGTACGAGGAATACATGACGACACCACCGAAGCAGACCGACAGTGAAAAGAAACACTGCGTAACAGCCGCGTACCACACGTGGGCATCGAACAACTTGTCCCAGTCGGGTTTGATGAAGAAAATGATCCCGTTTACGGCACCGTCCAGGGTTACCGCTCTGACCAACAAACTTATCATTATGATGTAAGGAAAGATCGCGAGGAAATAGGACGCTTTCCCTGAGCTCTTCATTCCACGTGCCAGCACGGCGAATATGCAGCCCCACGCGAGTAACAGGCATAACGTCAGCTTCCAGTCTGGCAAACCGATGCCGTCATCGATGCTCTGCTTTTCTTCAATACCGATTTTCTAA